TGTCTTGTGTGCTAAGGAATCTACAGGAGAGCTAACCTGCCCACCTTTACCCTCTACAAGCATTAGATGCTTGAATTGTACTCCAGTTTTCATAGGTTTTAGACACTGGATCGTTTCAGTCCCTTACATGTAGTGGAGCCAATACTCTGTATACAATATAGGGTTTCTCGCAGTGGGTTTCAGCCTCTTAAAAATATAGCTCAGCACCCAAGACCTTGGTTCTGGAGTCCAGAGAATCTGGATGTTTTTTCTCCCACAGTGATTCATATTTACTTTTACAAATCACGAGTGGAATGTGGTTATTGCACACTCATTAGAGGCGCACTGCAAAAATTAATGAATGGTATTAACTGATTCAGTAACAAAGGCATAATTTATTTGATGCCTCTAAATTTCCTTTGTAATTGATCATGTCATATTCTCAGTGATATGTCAAGAGGAGAAGGGATGTGTGTGTGCTGGCCACTGCCCTAAAGGGGAGGAGTATTTCATCACCAGACTGTTATAACTGCTAACTTTTGCTTGGTTTTATCACTGTTTGTAAACATCTCTACAGCTAATGGATTTCTTATTACAATCATGCATATTGTAATAAGACTCCTCAGACTCCTTCCTTTGGTATACCACAGTACATTCTGGTTAACTATTACACATTTACAATTTCTAATTATTTTGTCTCTCTACTTATTTTTCGTTTTCCTTTCCCCTTAGGCTCTAAGCTGTATGACCCACTGTGCTATTTCCCCCCGCCCCTGTGGCAGACAGTCGTAGTTGTGTAGTGACATTGCTCCGGGTGCTTACCCATCTTGCCCCAGTTACACGGATTGAGGTTACCAGATGTACAGTGGTAGATTAACGTTGACTTAGGTCTGGAAAAGGAAATAAAAATTCCTTATTACAATCATGCATATGTTCCCTCTGACTCCTTCAGAGGGAAGGAGTATTCTGTAATATAACAAAATGGAGAACTAATGTGGAATTCCAATGATTAAGGCAAGCTTTGCAACATTTCCTTGTATCTTTTGTACCTTCTTGGGTTAATAAGTAAAATGAAAGAAGAATAGAAAAATTGTGTGTGTGTGTGTGTGTGTGTGCACTTCAGCATTCACACTTGGTCAACCAGGTGTGACACAGTATGGAGCATGTATGTCTGAGTTCACATAAGAAAAATTAAAATTTAATCCTGCCTACCATGTACGTTACAACCATGCAAGTTTCAGCCAAATGTACAATTGTTTTGTGCATGTGTGCGTGTGTGCGCGCAGGCTAGGAAATCTCCTGACATGTGATCTGAACTTTGTCATTTACCAGGAACCTGAGCAGTACAAGAAAACATAAAGTATGCTCTCTCTTCTTCAACTTCTATCACTTTTGCCTTAGAAAGGGAAGTTGTATTTTGGAGAACTGAATAGAAAGAAAAGCCTGTTGGTTATCAAGAACTTTATGGCTCAGTGATTTAACGCAAGTAGTAAGCAGTATTTATAAAACAACTTAGTGTATATGAGATTGCATATTAGGAACTAGAGAAAATATTAAACAAATCCACGCTCACATTTGAGGTCTTAAACAATGAAGTGCCTGTGTTTTGAAAATGTGCCTAACATGTCACCCTCGTCCTCATCCCGTCCCTGAAGGCGGCTTCAGCATTCACACCTGTGCACCGCAGTGTACCATCCTACCGCTAGGGTGAGATTGACGACCGTATCAACTGGAATTAAATCTGCCACAGCCATGGGAGTAGCTTTTATGGACCGAAGAAACCCTTTCCCAGCCTGTAGAGGAAAAATAACATAAAATATTAAACCAGGTCTTAAGTAGCAGCTGGGGCTCAAGTTATATCAGACAGTATGTGTGCTAGTGCTGTTAGGGGAAACAGCTGACATTGACCCTGACCTGCTGCTCACCAGGTTTTTATGCCAAGTCTGACCACCTTCGGCCCAGCAACCTTCCCAGCCAAGTGTATCTCAAGTGCTAATACTTCTAACAACCACAAGTGGTTGTCAGGTTCTTCCAGGAAATAAAATTCCTCAAATTTGTGAGAGGTTAATGTAGCTAGTTAATTAACAAACACCAGAAATAAGTTTGAGTAATAAGACGTTTTAAGAATTAAGGTTTCCCAAACTTCCCATTAATATTTATTTACCAATATTTGTTTACCATTTCTTCAATGATTTTGTTTTCTGCTAGTGCTTACCCATGACCAATAGTGGGCACTAAAAGTTTAAAAATATTATTTGGAAAAAAATCAGTTGATGAAATTCTAACACTTAACAAAACAAAAGCTTTTTTCTCTTTGGGGCCACCGTTCTCTACTTTTTCTTTTTTTTTTAAAAAAGTATCTTAGTTCATTTCATAGATCACTGATGCTATCCAGGTAAAAGAATTGAGAATTATTCATGTTACTAATTTGTTGACTTTATAAAGTTGATTCTTTATACTTTGCCATGTTTATGACATTGACTTGAAATGATTTACACTTTTTGATGTTCCCAATTTCTGTTTTTTTAAATAACTGATACCCCTTCTTTTGGATATAAGAAACCAGTTTGGAAAATTTTAGAAAAAATGTGATAAATGCATGACTTGGCAACCCAGGGTGGCCACAAAGGTCATGTGCAATTTTAAATTGCACACTATTAACTTTACGGCCACCTTGTATAATGAGACCTGCTCCGGGATCATGTTAAAATAATTATGTTCTAAGACGCCAAGCATTCACCCCAAATAAACTTCAGAGGAGAAAGCGTTGAAGGCAGGGAGGGAAGAGGGAAAAATCAGAAATCAGAAGGAGGTTCATTGTCAGTGAATTTGATGAGTCATAACTCACTGTCTTATGTTTGTATTTTAATTGTATTTTTATTTGTATTTTAATTTATGTTGAACCTAGTAGTTCTGGGAAGAACAGAGGAAGAGCCTGAAGCTGAGTCTGAGTCTCTAATAAGATTTACGTTTATTTAGAGAAGTGAATTCCCATTAATTGCCCTAAGAGTAAAGTTGTGGTTCGGGTCCTAAAATGCTTCAGTGAAAACCCCACAGCTCAGCTGGATTGATCTGAATTGCAGGGAGGTGGGCATAGGGGCTGCTAACCTAGACGGGCTGCATTTCTCCTGGTCTGTGAGACAATTATTGTTGAAAAGGTGTTTCCTATATTCGTCAATTTTTATACTTGAAAAATTTGCTCCAATTGGTAGTTCTCTGTCTTGTATTTTTAAAGAATTAGTTATTAATATATATCTAATTTTTATACACACACGTAAACTCATGTTTTATAATCAAGAACTTAGTAATCTACAAGGATATGAATGGTATTTTTAGTGAATTTGCTGCACTAACTCATGCTAATAATAGATAGCAAAAAGGAGGAAATAGCTCCATCTTGTGGTAACTAAAGGAAATCCTTGTCTAAAATAAAATACGTAAATGGTAATTGATGACATCACATTATCTCCATTTTCCTGGTAAAAAAAATTCTCAAAGAATAGCAGTAAAATTTCACTCTGCCTCTATTTTTCAGTTGGCAAAATTGAGATAAGTTGCTTCAACGTTTGTTAATAAAATACCATTTATGGTTTGGATCAATCAAACTACACCAATGCTAAGAATTTTTTTTTTTTTTTACTAATTTCAAGGAGTTATTTCCTCATCATTATACATACCGCAATAATGAGCCCACTAGGTCCGTTTAGATTATCAACCCAACCCTGGAAAAAGAGAAGATTTCTTTGGTTACATATTTCATAGATTTGTTATATGTTTGAAACATTTGCCATGTAACGTTAGTAAATTTTAAACAGAGCACCAAGACCCCAGCCAATAGAAGACAGTTCTAGTTCTAATCCAGTATTTCTAAGATCCCAAACAAAATTCAACACTCCCAAATGGCTATTCTCTGCACTCTATTTGACTATGGAAGAATTACAATTTTGCCAGCATGGTTTTCCACAGCAGGAGTCATGGATGATTTCCTGTTGTTTTCTGACATCTTCTGGACTAAACTGGACCTTGCCTTAATACCATCATTCTTTTCCACCTTAGTCTTGTTGAGCTCCTTGAGGGAACATTTCAAACATGATTTGTAGAAATCACCCATTTCCGGAAATGTTTAACCCCTGTAGAGTCCATACCAGGTGTATATTTGTGTGTGTGTGTGTGTGTTAGCTTGCTTACAGATGTTATATTGGAAAGATTATGTTCAGGAACACTTAAATGTCTTCTTGAGTTTGTTTTCTAAGCCCTAAGCACATCAGCTGACCTTACTAGGTTTGCTTCTTTATCTTACATTGTGAAAGTCAAAATGTTTGTGTATAATGGAAGGTGAGAGAGAAGACAGGGGAGGATCAAGGGGTAATATTTGTTCAGCCTCTTACTAGGGACCAGCTTTTTACTAGGGACTAAGCACTCCTCACACATTGTTTCATGTAATCAACTCTCCAGAGGAAATAGTATCAGTCCAGTTTTACAGAAAAGAAAACTCAGAATGTTGCATTGCCCGTGACTAGCGGAGCTCGAATTTCTTAGGCCCCAAAGCTTCACAGAGTTGCTTTGAAGAAGACAGTATAATTCAAAGTGCTTCCAAAAGGATAGAGCAGTAGAAAGAGGTAAAACATTACTATTCGTAAACAGAGAACCTTTAGTGAGCTTTGTGACTTCTGTTTACCCTGGCAGTCACAGTACTTAGAATTCAGCCATCAAGAACATTCTGGTATATTAAACCGTAGCGAGATAGTCAAGAAATGAAACTATTGTCCATGGGAATTTTGAGACTACCGGTTAATTAGAAGCTAATTTAAGATCTCCATCTAACTCCAGGACAGTCAAAGTAACTCCCAGAGGAGTTTCGTGCTAGGCAATTCCCAGTGTGGAATTTTGCCCTAATATAATGGGTTCGTGTTTGATTTGCTGCGCTCAGCTATAAATCCTGAGAAGAAAAAGAAAGAAAAAAGCCATCAAAAAGTAATTGACCTAGACAGCGGTTCTCAACCTGTGGGTCACGACCCCTTTGTAACAGTGAAAATACACCACTGCCTTAGGAAGGTTGAGAACCACTGGGCGAGAATAATGTTGGTTTGAAAGCCAATCCAGGAATGCAGTGAGGAGACTTACCGGAAACGGCTCCTGCCAGGTCGCTCCCACGATGGAGGGCCGGATGATGGCAATGTTCAGGTTCCCACTTTCCTGCTGCACCACCATCTCTCCCAAGGCCTTGGTGTAGGTGTAAGTATTAGGCCGATCTCCGATCAGCTTGGGTGTGATCTCATCAATAATAGAGTCATCTAGCCACCTGAAGGTAGTCAGAGGAAAACGTGTTCTAGCAACACGTTAGACCACAGACCAGAAAAAAATATGCGAGCACGGACAATCTAACAAAACTTCTGCTTTCCAGATAGAGTTCTGAAATTCAGCACTGTCGCAGGACACCATGGTTGAGTGTGCACCTGTTCCAATCATGCTCCATGGATGAGCTCTCTGCTCTCTATTGCTAAGCCAGATCTATCAGTCAAACCCTATATCCTCCCACCCAGAGATTAAGTCAACAGATGCAATCTACTACTTTATTACTATTGCTATTAAAGTAGTACTACATGTATTACGCTATTTTATTAGTATTACTTTAGTACCCCTACTACTGTAGTACATATACCCTCTACATAGCTTCAGTACTTCCTTTGCAACATATTCACAAATACATTCATTGACATGTTGTGAATGCCAGTCATGTGTCTGTAGTATGCTGAGTGCTGATTCATGAGATTATAGGCGCTCTCATCCAAGATGCTTCCCTAGCAGTCCCACTCATTTAGTGTTGTCCAATAAAACTTAGGGCACCTATCCTGAAACCTTTAGCTTTTAATTTTTAAGCTTTCATTCAAATCAAATCAAATCAAAGCAACTATATGGGCAGACTTACAATCTGTTTGAGCAGATCTATGTAAAGTATCTTGAAGGTCTATTTAGAGTCTATGCTGATAACTTGAATATTATTTCCAGAGAATTCCAATGAATTCTGAAGTCAGCCACATGCAGTACTTTTAATACTCTGAAGCAGCTTCAATAGGACTATTATTGAATACTCCTACTTTCAAGGCGATGTGCAGTGTGAATAACTTGAGTTAACAGAGAAGGCATTACCCTAATCTTTATTAAAAATGTCAGAATCATTTTGATAACCCCGAAGTATATTTACATTTCTCTAAGAGGGCAACTAAATTACACCTATAAATCCAGCACTTTGGGAGGCCAAGGCAGGTGGATTGCCTGAGCTCAGGATTTCAAGACCAGCTCGGGCAAGAGTGAACCCTGTCTCTAAAAATAGCTGGGCACTGTGGTGGGACTACAGGCACCTGCCACCATGAGTGGCTAAGTTTTCTATTTTTAGTGGAGATGGGGGTCTCAATTTACTCAAGCTGGTCTTGAACTTCTGACCATGAGTGAGTAGTCCTCCCCCTTTGACCTCCCAGAGTGCTAGGAGTACAGGTGTGAGCCACTGTGCCTGGCTGAGGTGCCTCTATTTTGATTCTGATTATAGAAAATCCTAGCTGTTACCACTTTGTTAACATGACAAATTGTGGAGCCTCAAGGCAAGCTTGATTCTAAGACTTATTCCGAATTACAACTCTCAGCTTTAATGAACCATTTGATACAGAGGTGGAACGTGAGCACTGCCTATGTAATGTTGTTGTTTTTCTTGTTTTACTTCCAATAATGCTAAGTCTGGATACTTAAGTGTCTTCTGATTTAAATTGAGTCGGGAAAGATTGAGAGGTTCCTAGAATTAAAACCAACTTCCACTATGTAAAGAAACAGAGACCATGTCAATTACATGGCCCCCTGGGGGCTGGGAGAAGGTGGGGGATAGGGCCAGTTCCACTACCAACCACCTCATCTTATTCTTGGGCCAAAGCCAACTGACTGGCCTAAGACCACTTTCTCTCACCAGCAAAAATATACAGGTTATAAAAACCAGACATGGAAGAAACAGAGCTTAATTTTAATAAGGCTGTAAACAACAAAAAATCCTAAGAGCACATCCGAACCCACCAATGCTCTGGGAGTGTATTTCACATGGCTGGTACCAGCTGCTGTCACTAATGTTGACATGCATGGGAAGGGTGATCTGTGGGAACTTTGCAGAGTTTGGCAAGTTTGCTTGTTTCAGAAAATCTGGTGCCACAGATTTCTGAGAACACAAGTGCAAGAAGTTGTAGTGTCATGGGGACACGGGCTCGCCTCCACCGTCCTTAGCTCTGCCTCTCTTTCCACTGTTTTATCTTCTTGTTCACTCCACTTTTACTTGTGAAAAGTGGGAGTAATCATATCCACCTTAAATCCTCAGATTAGCATGAGGATAAACAGGAATATTCCCAACTGTGCTTAAAGCTATTTGATACAACAAAATGAGCCTAAGGCACGTATTTGTAGCAAAATGACCAATGCTCATTTATTAGGTAATGATATATATAAAGGTCATGACTGGTTTTACATGTTCATACAATATTGATTCTAATACAGCCAGGCTGTCCATCTACCATCTTATTCAGCTCCTTCCTGGGTGCAGAGAGGAGATATGTAACAACTCGGCCTGTCCCCTGGTTAGTGAGGCCCTTTCCAGACCTATACTCAGTGCAGGTCTGCCGCTGCTGCCACCGCTGCTGCTACTTTTGTTCTCAATTTGTTTTTAAAACAGTAAATGAGTTAGCATGGAAAAAAGACACTATATAAACCAAAATACTTTTTTTTTTTGACATAGAGTCTTATTTCGTCCTCCAAGCTATAGTACAGTGCTGTGATCTTAGTTTACTGCAGCCTTGATCTCCTGGGCTCAAGCAATCCTCCTACCTTGGCCTCCCTAGGAGCTGGGCCTAGTCATGTGCCCTATTTTATATCTTTTGTAGAGACCTCTGTTGTGCTGGCTGGTCCTGAACTCTTGGGCTCAAGCAATCCTCCCACCTTGGCCTTCCAAAGTGCTGGGGTTACAGGTGTGAGCCACTGCGCCTGATCCAAAATATATTAATTAACCAAATGCTTTTCAATACAGTCAAAGTGATATTTTGAATCTATGCATTTCAAATTCTAAGCTTCTACTTGAATTTCTTTGAAAGAAGCATAAAGTCATTGAGATTTTCAGAAAACAATATGTGTAGTGTATGTCTTGTGTGTATGTATACACACACATAAACAATTTCCTCGAAATATTAACATTACTATCTTTTTTGGTTTAAAACTTGTTGATTTGACATCATATCATTAACAATTTCATTATTTACATATTTACTGAATAGAGGAGTACAGCAAGAGGAGTACGTGTCCCCTCACTTCCTAATTTTCTTACGCAACAGGTGGGGCAAGCCTGGTGGTCTGTTGGGAAAAAGCTTTGGAATGCGTAGTGGCTGCCCTGTCTCATGATAACGTTTGCTCTCAGCTTCTCCAGTCTGGACTATGTCATTCACTTGATTACTGCAATTTTGATGATCTGTGTATTAGATTATGTGTCTTTTTTCCCAGTGGAAAACTGAGTCCAGGAAAGCAAGGAGTATGCGTTTTATTTCTGTGTCTGATCACATTTCTGCCCCAGGAGCCATCTACCTTATCAGTACCTAGCTGCTCTTCCACAGGCAATCTGGATCGGCCCAATTCTGAACTGTATATGGTTTGGGGAAGTACAGAAGAACCATGATAGGAGAAGGAGATAACCTCAGGACATGAGGTTGTCAGGATAACACGGGGAAGGAGAAAGGGGATGTCTGTGTAGAGAAGGAAGGAAAATTGGACGTTAAAGTGTCCACTGGTAGTAGAGAAGTGTTGAGAAGCTGAAAGGCCAAAGACGACCACCCTCAATTTGATGGAGTTGGCTTTAGAGTCAACTGAAACTTTCTACCGAGAAGCGGGGCATTTTTGAGCCTAATGCTTGTGGTGAATTTCCCTCCAGACTTCTATCAAGCACCTAACCTGGCCAAACCCGTGCTGGATGCTGGATGACCTGCCAATGGGAAAAATAGTTTGAGAAGCAACTTAACCCCGCTCTGGTTTGTATTTAAAGTCTAGTAATACAAAGTATACAGGATTTTACTTATTGTCAGCTACTTAGATGTCATCTTGAGGCTGGGTTATGCTGAAAATAGAAGCACAAATACTAAAATCAGCTTTCACCCTCCACCCCCGGGATAGATCAGCCTTTTAGTGTTAACGATGTGCTCTTGAGCATAAAGGCAAGACTGCGTCCCAGTGTTTGGCCTCTTTTCACATTTCCTTGAAGGCTGCCCCAGTGTTTGGCCTCTTTTCACATTTCCTTGAAGGCTGCAAGACGAGGGCCTCTGTGGCTGGCCGTGGCTGGCTGTGGCTGGCTGCGGCAGCCTCTGTTCCCCCTGCCTCCCATGCCCTTAATGTCCGTCCCACCTCGTGCTGTGCTTTCTGGTGGCTGTGTACCTTCAGGAGTGTGGGAACCAGGTGAGGAGAGCAGGGGGAGGAGGGAACATGGATTATTGGAATAAAAATAATCCCCATCTCCAGCAGAAGTCACTCAGTGAAAATGCTCTTTAACGCACTAGTTTCTAAACTTGCCTGCAGGGCCCCAGGTAGAAATCTAATTCCTAGGGGCCGTTTTGGAACCACTAAATCAACCTGCAGGGGTGAGAGTCTGGTCACCGATATTTTTAACAATCTCTGGTAACTATTGCAGTCAAGAAAATGAGGGAATCATGAATTTTAAAGAAGTCTACTCGACAAACTCAAGTTCTTAAGATTTGAATACAGCAGGGTTAGCTCTCCAAAAATATACTGCATACAAATTTCAATAGAATTGGGGTAAAAATTTCAATAAAATTGAACTTTAAAAGAATTAGATCTTTGGTGCTAGAAATGTAATGCATGGCAATTATGCATATTCTAATCTGGGAGCTGATGAGCCATGTCCTATTGGTTTTTCTTCCCCCCAAACACATGGGTGTCTTTTATATCTGGTGCCATGCCCTCTTTCTGGCCCTCTACAACACGCATCTCAGGTGATGGATGGGTCGCTCTGCCCCTGGCTCCTTCCCAAGCTAATGCACTGCCTCCTCCCA